TGCGTTTGTTTTTTTTTAAACGAAGCATTAACACATGTTAGACTGTACCCCATAAACACAATCAAGCCTAAAAAAAAAACAGTGAACCACCCCTTTAATATAATATAAAATAATATAATAGTTTTTCAAAAGCAAAAATAATTTATATATAGATATATTCTTATTATCAGTATATAAATATACAGTAAATATCGATTTGAGTTGAAATTATTATGAGGGGAAACAAGACTGGTACAGGCAGAGTGATACAAGAGACTAGCAACTGGTTGCTGGGAGTTTGTTTGCTCTGATTTAGCTTTTTTTTTTATATGAAATGATTACATATTTATCAGAGAGTCTGCATAGATGCGCTTCATTTAGAACGCTGTAAACTTTGGCCCTTTGTAACACTAACAGCAGCCTACACACGATTATGCAACCAATGTGCACAACACAAATACACATGGAATCTATCACATTAAACTTTCCACACTCACCCACACACACACACACAAAGTACACAAATGTGCAAACACTCACTAAACTCTGTCAGACAGGAGAACCTCCTTGGACTAAATTGAAAAAATCTACATTTATGTGTATTATTTGTAGGCATGTGTGTTGTAGGTGGATAATGGCAATAAATTGTAGGTCTCAATAAACGCAACCAGAGCTTTAGTGGGTCATTCACGTTGAACATATCTTTTGTACATACACTTATATACACAGAAGGCTTGACTTTTAAAGCCCCTTGAGATGAAATAACTTCAGTCTTGAGGTGTGTTTGAAATAGCATACTACTCATGCTGCATGTGAAAGGGTTTAGCATGCAGTATAATAATAGAGTAGTAATATAATAACAATAATAAATACTTTTATTCAGCACGGATGCATTAAATTGTTTAAAAAGTGACAATTTAAAGACATTTATAATATTACAAAAGATTTCAAATAAATGCTGTTTTTTTATACTTTATATTCATTAAAGAATCCTAAAAAATGTATCACGGGTTTCAGAAAAATATTAGACAGAGTAATAATGCTGAAAATTCAGCTTTGCATCACAGGAATAAATAACATATATTTAAATAGAATTTTAAAAATATTTCACAATATTATTGTTTTTACTGTATTTTTGATCTTTCTAACCCTAATCCTTTGAGTGGTAGTACAAGTTTTAATTTTATTTATTTATTTATTTTTTAATGATCCCCTGTATGTGTGAATGATGATGAAAGTGTCTAGGTAAGTATGTTGCTAAGCTAACAAAGTGTTGTGTGCAAGCATGTGCACTGGATTACGCTGAAAAAAATGTATTGGTCATAAATATTTCGAACCAACCTTAAAACTGTATTTTGTGTTATTTTTAAAGAAAAATATATATGAAAATGAATTACCGAGCTGTTTTTCCATGACATATTTTCGCTGAGGATCTGACATGATTTAAACCATGTATTATAAAATGGATAGTTCCGGTCCTTGATTCTGATTGGTTGAGCCACGTTCAAAGCTGTTGTAAATTACTCTACAAACATACACCTTTGTTTACTTTGTGTGTTGCTTGGCAACAACTTTGTTACAACCACAACTGTTTCTGAGGAACTACATTGTTTGGTGGAAGAATACTGTTTTTATTAATATCATTACACTTTATTTGCTCTGTTTTATTTTGTGAAACCTAACTACGTATATGGAATAACCGTTTTATAAAAGCTCCGCTTCGCACCTAACAACGTCCCTTAGCTGTTATAAATTCACTGTAAACCATGGCTTCTTGGGGCTTATTGCTTTATTATTATGTTGCAGTTTGTGAAGTTTACAGGCCAGCTGTCCAGTAAAATGATTTACTTTCCAAAGGCAATTTTAACTTGCATTTGGCTTATCAAGTGTTCGATATGAGACGAGGGGGAAAAAAAGATTGGATAGGGAAAGCTCTGGCTTCGTGTGAAGGTAGCCTTAGATAACTTTACAGTACACTTTCCAGATATAAATGATATTGTCAAGAAGCAATTCATTTCATCTAGATCATTTGGTAAAATTCCAAAGCATCTGAACTTAAAACTGCCTCATCTCTGTTTAATATCTAAATATGCTTTAATTTTTCATAATTCTTTTACTTCATTTTTCTTATTCTCTTCTTCTTCTACAGATCTGCAGGACATTCCTGAAGAGAGCGAATGCGCTACAGACCCCCGGGACCGCGAGGTCTCGCACTGCTAATATTTCTCAACCCAAGACTTGCCTGTTGTCCGATGGAACAGACTATAGACTCCATGAGGAGGTCTTCCGCCGAACAGGGAAGATTCTTACTTAGTTTATGAATATTCATTTCATTATATACATACAGTATTTAGTTGTATCCAGTAATTTTGCTTATAGCTTCTGTGTGGCCGTTTATGACATGTTAATATTCAACATGTCTTCTCCTTGGAATCCAATCATATGGCTTTTGACATCCACGGACCAATAAGTATATGCCAAAGCATCGTGATGGAGATGGAGTCATGCAAATAATGGGACTTTGCACTTGATAGCGGCATGAAATGGTCTTGGGATTCTGTGAGAATCTTAAGATTAACCAAATCAACCAAACATAAGTGATCCAGCTCAAGGGTACCGGCAGAAACCAGTCAAATTGATGTACTGTGTGTGCTTTGTACCGATTCTACACATGCTGGAGCACGCAAAACCAGAATAGAGCTTCTTTTTTAAGTGGAACTTGTTTGTGTGAGAGGTCATTGTAAAGAAATGTCTCTTTCTTGCGCTTTATTTTGAATTTATTTATTTTTCTTTGTTTTAAATGGAACGTTAAATTGTCTTTCGAGCATGTCAGAGCAGTTAGAAAGAAGCCATAGCTTGAAATATACCAACATAATAGACTGGGACCAAAACTACTGGCTAAATAACAAAAAACTATTTTCAGAGACTTGAGGGCTTTTTTAGGAAGGAATTATTATTGCCGTTTATAGCAATATATATTAGAAATATATTTACATCTATAGCAAATAACTTAATAAACCCAGGAAGGTTATTATGATATTATAAATGGTTCCTCAGCCCACAGTGTGTGTTAACGGGGAATACTTTGTAAATATAAGAAGATTTATTGACTAAAATAAATCACATCTCCAAAATTTGCCAGTAACACCAACAACATTTGATGTGTCTTACTACAGTTTTGCTTATGTTTTAATTTTAAGAATGTTTTTTGCAATTACTTGACTGTGTGCCAAAATTCGCTTGGCTGAATATTGCTGAGATATATTATACTTTTATTTTAGTCAGTTCAACATTTCAGGAAGCAATGTCTTAGAAATTATTGTAGGATGATATTCTTCATGGTTTGAAGTAACTATAAGAAACATAGGAATTACTCAAGTCACATCAAAATGTTTATATGGAACATGACAGAAACATTGTTGGAATGTTCATACAGTGTTTCAGATATATTGAAGTGGATATAGAATACAGTTGAAGAATTAAAACTGTTGATATACAACATCATTGGGATTGGTTTGTTGTCTTTCATTTGTGTGTGTGTGAGTAAATCAATGTGAAAAGTGTGATAAAATTAGTAATATTAACGGGACCGTAAATTGTCATCATTTACTCCTCATACTCAACCTCATGTTGTTCTAAATCTGCATTTTTATTATTTTTTTTTCTTTTTCTGTTGAACATAAAATAAGACATCTTGAAGAATGTTGATACCCAAACAGTTGCCGGTAGCCATTGACTTCCAGAGTATTTTTTTTTTCATGATATGGAAGTCAATGGCTACTGGCAACTGTTTGGTTACCAACATTCTTGAAAATATCTTCTTTTGCATTCAACAGAAGAAAGAACAATGTACATTTTTGGGTGAACTATCCTCCAAAGTCATTCTCAGTACAAACTGATCTCGTGAGAAAACTATTTTATGTTGTGGTAATTGGTGGCGAATTTGTACGTATCGTATGTTTTCATTTGTATGAAAACATACCATTTTTAGAAAAAATGTGGACCTGAACGTCTACTCCTAAACTAACCATCAGTGGAGAGTAAGCAAATCATATCATATCATAAGTTCATACAAATTCGGCACAATACGCCAAAATGAATTATGATTTGCCATGAGAGTGTGTTTGTATGAAACCTTTAGCATCAGCTGTGGGGTGGGGTTTGTATCACAATTGACCAATCAGAATTGAGTGTTCCAAAAATCTCTGATATTTCCACAATCATACACAAACAGGTTTTAGTAAGTTCTATCCTTATTTTCATAATAAAACATGTACATTTAAATTCATATGTGCATTTACATATCAAGATCCATCTGAATCTAGATCTTTGTCTGTGGCTAGCAGCTAATCCACAAAACAATGTAAGCCAAAAATACGAGTATTAATAGCTTGGTGGCACAGGCAGCATAGCTGGCATTCAGATGCGCGCGCGCACACACACACACACACACACATATATATATATATATACTACCTCATCCATCACTTCATTATCCTAAACTAAAAGTGTGTGTTGAAAGAATGAGTAAATCTATTGAACAAAACAGAGCACTTAAAAAAAAAAAAGAGTGTACACCGACTTGCTCTGAAATACAGTGCAACAGTTTCCCTCCCTCACCTTGCAGTGAACTGCCTTTACTGGAGGAATGATGTGATGCATTATTTATCAGAGATTTATTATAAAACTTCCCTTTTCTGCATAGTGCAAAACATAGTTTCTTCCTTTCTGAATACATTCTATAATTAAATCTAAATACAGCTAACCTAAATCTGTTTTATTTGTACTTTAACAATGAGTTTTAACCATACCCTGCCCCCCGGCTGAAAATAGTCTGCTCACCCATAACCTGACACCATCATTGTCCCTTTACTTCAGCAAGAGCTTAGTGGAACTTACAGTTAAAGACGCACATGAATGACTAATCACTATTACAAAAATGTGCTTTCATATACACATATCATTAATCCAAAGGTATGTCTAAAGAATGAAAATGAAAAGAAAAAAATTATGTGAAAATCGGTGCTAGAGGAGAAGACCCTTTGTACACTATAGTTAAAAATGTAGACAAGACTAAATCTATGATTTTGGTATTAAGGTTAATTCCTAAATGCAAGCTTAGTTTACAAATATAAATGATTCCAGTATGTTTTTTTTTTTTAACTTAAAAATCAAGATACATTTAAAAAAAAAAATTTTTATTATTGTATTTGTAGCACTAATCATGAGGGACTTCTAAAGTAAAGAATGCAGATGGATGCATGATGTGAAAATCTGTGCTGGAGAACAACACCCTTGATATTAAGATTCATTCTTAAATGCAGGTTTAGTATATATATATATATATATATAAGATCCGAAATTATGACAATTATAATAAAATTAAAATTTATACTATTACATTTTACTAATAAACCTTATACTTACTTTTTACTAATAAAATAAGCCATTTGCTCTATGAATAAATATAGATATAGAGAGATAAATCATCTAGATGGCAGTGTGTTTGGGATTGTTGCATTCCAAAGCACTGGTGGCAATCTTACCACATCAAGTGTGGTTCCCCAAAGCCTTGTTATTATATGTGGTCAGGCAAGTTAATGATAGAACGGTGTCTCACATTAGAAAAAAGCTCTAAAGTGATCATTGTGGCGACCGACGAGCCATAAAGGGAACAGTGCAGCTGGGGATGCGAGTAATGTAACACACACACACACACACACACACACACACACACACCTGTGCCTGTCACAAACACAGCGGCTTTGTCTTATTATAGCCGAACCTCAGTTCTGTCCATTGGCGTCCATTCTTGTCTTTGTTGTGTCATATCTTCCAGCTCATTCTTTCCCAACGGAATGATCTAGTAACAGAAGGATGAAAACAACAGATTAAATATATAAGTGAAAGCTATCTGGAGTGAATGTATAGTTGCTGACGACATTCAAATAGTGTTAATAATAAAGTTAAACTGAATTTCAATCATGATAAGGTCCTGATAATTAACGTTACATCACTACATCATCACTACATCAGACACCAAACAAGACTTATGACTGTATTAGGTGAGCTATAATGAGTAAGTGGGCGGAGTTTATTAGAAACTGGGCATGGCCTGATGTCCCCAGATATAAATGCCCTCCCACTATCCCTGGCTGAGTTTGGTCTCTCTCCACTTTACTCCCTCTCTGTCCACGTTCCTTGCTTGACCAGCTCCTGTTCCTAAACCACTAGCCCTCACCTTCTCCACTGCCACTTTCAGTTTCTCGTACCGTGAGCCCTACTCACCAACGCCAAGATGGAGGCCGTCAAGAAGAAGATGCTGATGCTCAAGCTGGATAAGGAGAACGCTCTGGATCAGGCAGAACAAGCGGAGACCGACAGGAAAGCAGCAGAAGACAGAAGCAAACAGGTGAGGCGGAGGTGGAAAGGTCAAAGGTTGTGAAAACTAAAACTGATATTGAGTAAATGGGATGAGTTGGAGATGCTTAATTTCAGTGCTGTTTAGGAAGAGTTTTTAATTTGGGGGACCAAATGTTTAATCATTTAATATGTGGTTTGAATGCTTAATGCATCAAAGGCCCACTTTTTCATTCTGGACCAAAACAGATCTGAATATAAGACAAAGATCTAAGTCATTTTACACTATGTACATTTGCTGAAGGCATAGTCCACCCAAAAATGAAAATTCTGTCATTATTTACTCCCCTCATGTTGTTCCAAACCTGTATGACTTTCTTTCAAACAAACAGTTTCGGGTCCCATTGACTTCCATAGTATTTTTGAGATCTTGTTCTTGTTCCACAGAAGAAAGTCATACATGAGGGGAGTAAATGATGCTAGAAGTTTCACTTTTGATTGGACTATCCATTTAAGAATATAATGCACCTGGCCAATGCTGACAACTGTCCAAAGACCCTTCTTGGAAAATAAGCGCCCACCACCAAGGCTTAATATGAGAAGTCTTAGATACTGATCCCAACACTAAGTAGCAGTTGCATGGCTGTGATCTGCCACTGAAAGAATACAGGGCGGATAAATAGAGTCTTAGCAAGAGATGGAGAGGGGAGTTGCGGAGAGGGCTGAGGATGTGTGAAAGTTTTGGGTTGCCTGTGAGTGTATTTATATTCACATTTACACAAGGTATAGCTTTGGTAAGCTGCATATCTTAGCTCATCACCAGAAGAAGGTGGGCAAAAAATCCCTGGAAAGTGTTGCTTTGTGCCAATTAAGGTAGAAGTGATGGGGCATGAGGGTATGTGTGAAGATGTATTATAGTGGATGATTTCATACCGATAATATTTCTCTCCCCCTCCCTTTCTATCTCCTCCACTCTCATATTTCCTTTCTTTCTTTATTTCTTTCTTTCTTTATTTCTCCCAGCATGAGGATGAGCTGATTCAGATGCAGAAGAAACTGAAGGGAACTGATGATGAGTTGGATAAATACTCAGAGGCCCTGAAGGACGCCCAGGAGAAACTGGAGATAGCTGAGAAGAAAGCTGCAGATGTGAGTGATTGACAATCACAAAGCATCAAATCACACACAAACACAAATGCAGCTCTTAAAACTTCATCCCGGAATTCTTGTTGGTCCCACCCCTCCATTCCTTTCATTCTCTCCATTCACTCCTCCACAGCTGACACTGTGTCACAACCCCCTTTTTTGACTGTGGTGTCAACTAGCTAAACTAACTCATTTCTACCCTTAAATGTATTCATACTGTCATCTAAAATCCCTTGTCAAAGTTTTTTTCCCCACAATTTTCACAATATTTTTAGAGGCAGCATAAATGCAGTGTAATAACTGGCCTAAATATATATTATTAAAAAAAAAACACTATATAAACATACATAATAACTACACAATGAATCAAATATATATATTTAATTCATTTCACTACTGACAAAGAAAGCACATAATGTGTATCTTTACCCAATGTCGTACAGTATGACCAATCAAGTTTAAGTTTCACAGTAGGCTGTATGTGTTTGATTCACTAAAAAGAATCAACACATTAGAGTCATTCGTTTGAGAATTATAGCTAGCTTCTACAATGGTTGCGCTGTCTGTTGTTCATTCACTACAAAAACGTTTCAGGAGAATCATTCTTACAGAGTCAGGCCACACTGGTTGGCCTACATGCTGTCGATTCACTAAAAAGAATCAAAAGAGTCATTTGTTTAAGAACCGTACTACACTGGTTAGCGCTGCATCCCCCCGACCCGGCTCATAAGAGTCATTCCTTCAAGAATTGGACTACACTGGTAGTGCTGACGTGCGTTGCAGCCTGGAATTAAACCACACCATGCTGGTTTCGTCTGGCCAGAGGAGAACTGGCCCCCGTGACTGAGCCTGGGTGCTGTGTGTACATTAATGAGGAAAAAAAATTAACTTAAATGATTTTAGCAAATGGCTGCAATATAACAGAGTGAAAAATTTAAGGGGGTCTGAATACTTTCCGTACCCACTGTATATATTGGGGTTTGGACAATCACTTGGTGACTGTCCTGTATTTTCATTTGCTGAAGTTGGCAACCCTATTTGGTAGTCAGACTACAGTGGTAGCTCTGCATGTTGTTGATTCACTAAAAATAACCGGCTCATGACACTCATTTGTTTGGAAATTGGTAAACTGGTCATGTTTGTTTTGCGCTGTGAATTCACTAGCAATTTTGTGGTGACACTAAAAAAAGTGAACTCTTATGTATTTAAAATGTGGAAAGCCCTTAACTGAATGTAATTTAGTCCTGATATTAACCGAACTGGTTAATTCTGAATCAATCAGAATAAGTTCTTGGTTCCCAACTTATCCAGACACGAGGTGACAAAAAGTGTGGGTGATATTGTGCATATATACTCTTGCCTGCAGGCCTCAGTGAGAAAATTACTACCTTGAGACTGCTGATTTAGCAGCAGGGCTGTAAATCAGTGTTTGCGAGAGGAACAATGAACATAAGAAAGAACCTTCCAGGCATGAACAGACTAGAGGTGTAAAGCTTTGTAAGTCTTGTATTTTTAGTATTCTTCTTCTTGAATAGTCATGTTTGGAGTATTTTTGAAAAATACTAGCTTTTATCTCTAACATTTTTCAACGTGGACTTTAAAATCGACAACTATTTGCCAATGCGTTCATATATATCTCTTATGCAACTCAAGAACTGATTCATTTCAAATAAGCAAAAGGCACTTCATTGTTAATCGCCATTGTGTAACTTGACTCCGTCTTTGACAGCTAAACTAAGACTGTGCCATCACGCTCAACTCTGTTACACCAAGTATGTCTATCTATTGCCTGTCGTTGTCCCTTTGTTCTGGGCTCCGGATATAGCAGGCACACCTGTTGTCATAAAATTCGGCCTTTAGAAGATGGACTAAATACCATAGGCTTTGAAGTGTGTGTGTGTGTGTGTGTGTGTGTGTGTGTGTCTTAAATCAACCTAAACCAGGCTGTGAGATCATCTCTGACCTTACAGAGAGAGGGAGAGCAGAAAAAGATTGCATGTCAGTACTGTAGGGAGACACACTGTAATATAGTGAGGAGGATTTATTGTTTTGAATCTGGCAACCCCTAATCAGACAAGCAGCATGAGAACAGTAGCTCCAAACAGAGGGTGAGTGTGGGTTGCTCCATTACAGCTGTCATTTTGAAATCTATTTTCATCACAACCTTGACTCAAAACTTCACCACCAAGCTATCACTTACCTTGCTACCCCACACAGTTAAAAAGAGTTGGATTTATTGGTAATTTAGAGTACAATTAGTCACTCATCATCATGCAGTGCAAACTTGACAGACAGGCCGACTAGACACAGTGATCTGGTTTGAATCTGGGGGTGGATCCTTTAAATAGAGCTCTGAGCAAGCGGCCTAACAGTGTCCAGAGCAGTCATGGTGAAAATGTGAAAGGTTTGAGGATAGATACATCCTTTGCTCATAAATGTATACATACATCCATAAATGTAGAAATAGTAAGAACATTGTGTTAGTTCCTTGAGTCTTTCAAATGCATACAGCTGCTGCAGTGGGTCTTACCATGTTGATGTAAGTGAGCATGCGTTTATGTGAGTGTGTCTTGAGGTCAGAATGTCAAACCATGTGTCTCGTCACCTATGACCTATAGCATCAACAGGCCATTAGAGACATAAGCTTTAGTTTCTCATCAGCCCAGATGGAGACATATACACTCTCTGCTGCCGAAAAGAGTTAAAATGCTCAGTTTTGTTTCTTTTATCTCTTGTCTCTTATCACAGTTAGATTATATTTTTATATATATATTAAAAAATATATATCACATATCAGTTTCATAATAACATACTAAGCAGTGCAACTGTTTTCAACTTTAATAAGAAATGTTTCTTAAGCAGCAAATCAGCATATTAGAATGATTTCGTTTGACATTGAAGACTGGAGTAATGGCTGCTGAAAATTCAGTTTTGCTATCACAGGAATAAATAAAAATATCTTCAAAGTATAAAACAGTTATTTTAAATTGTAAAAATATTTCACAATATTACAGTTTTACTGTATTTTTCAATCAAATAAATGCAGCCTTTGTGAGCATAAGAAACTTATTTCAAAGACATTAAAAAAATCTTATAACCCCAAACATTGCCCCCCCCCCTATATATATAGAAAATGAGAAGCAAGCAAAATGTTAATAATTTGTAGCTGAAAAAGTAGAAAATGATTTTATGAGTGTGGCTGTTGTGACAATCTAGATCACCTGGCGCCATCATCTGGTGAGATGGTGGCAACACATGATAAAGGTCCCAAGTTATAAATGGAGTCTGGAAATTGTTCCACATTAGGGAAGGGAGGCAGGAAAGGTGAAACAGGAAATGATGATGCAACATGATTTTGCAGTGCTGGTCTACAACAGAATGATTCAGGATCAGTCAACATTCCTTTACCTTTAACATTGTTCTGAGGCTAAACCGTTAAGGTCTGTCAATATTAAAAGTCTTTGTAGAAAGAATTACAAAATGAACATATAAAACCATAGCCTTGGGTATTCTTTGAACAGTGTTCAGCAGGGCATAGTGTACGGATACTAGAAAGATTGCACAGACAGACAACAGACAGCATTACTATAGTCTTGTTCAGTTTTGCCCAGGCCTGTGAATTCAGCTTGTTCACTGGATTCTTTTTTATGACCTCATGTAATTATGTGGGTAAATTCTATAATGGAATCTCTCAGTAGACTTAAATCCAAATCACAATGTCAGACTATTTCATTTAACGGAAAGATACAATTACACATTGTTTAAATCTCTCAATTTCATAGGTGTTCCTTGAAAAATCATTTTAGTTATAACACAACTTAACTCAACACAATTCAACATAACACAACATAAACAATCTATAGATAATAACTATGGCAGACCTATATACTAGAGATCGACCAACATTTTTACTACCAATAATGATTATTTTTGTTTATATGCCTATATGCAGCAGAAGAAATCTTGTTTATTTATATCTACTTCTTTTACACAGTAAGTAAATAATCATTAGACTACAACAATACAAACATAACATATCATAATAATAATAATAAAATAGAAAATGTAAGTATTTAAATGTAATAACTGATATTACGTGTAATCAATGTAATAATAATAATTATTATTATTATGGTATGAATATTGGTTAAAAACTAAAATATAAATCACACCAATCGGTCTGTTTCTATAACAGGCAGGCCAACAACAGATTTATCAGTGTCCACACGGTTATCACTCCAATGTGGCCTTCTTACACGCACGCTGACACATGAAAATATATGAATGTGGTTTTGTCATTACTCAGACTGCAATAAGAAACTGAATCAGGGTTTGTTTGCTCAAAAGCACAGGAACTTACTGTGACACCATCAATGGAATTACACGTAACGACAAGTAAAGGATTTGTAACACTCCTTGTTCTCGTTTACAGCCTAAATATGCCAGACATAATTCAGTGGATGGTGGTTCTGAAGGATTACAAATGGCACATAAGACTAAAACACATTATTATAATTGTTAAAAAGCAGCTAAATTTAATAATGGATCATTTCATAATGATATACATACTAACTGATTGTGTAACATTAATTTGCTGTTGTGGCCCCTTTGGCTGCTTTGATGTGTAATATTCGGTTATATCACAGATTTGATTGCACTGACAACTTTACACAGTTATTGAACTCCACTGAATCAACTTGAGTGAATAATGACACAGTCTTTTTTAAAGCTGCTTTATAGCAGAATTTGGATGTCTTAAATTTGATGAAGTTGGCATCATTGTTTCTATTACTTCCCTGTTTAATACCGTAAAGCTGCTTTGAAACAATCTGTATTGTATAAAGTGCAATATAAATAAGGATAACGACTTGATTTTTTAACTTTAACATAAAGTTCTAAAATGTATGTTTAAAGTGATATAAAGCATTGTAATATAATTTAAATCATTTTAAGTTGTCACCCTAGTGGGCCCGCCTCTATTGAGAACAACTGAGCTTCAATGAATAAGAACAAAACAATCATGACAAATCATAGATCTATAAGATTATTCCAAAATATATGATATAAACAAAAAGATAATTATTTACTATATTATGATTAGATATGCTCACAAAAAAAGAAAAAAAAAAGAAAAAAATGAACTGGATCCGGCCATGAACTGAACTCCCTCCTTTTCCCTCTCAAAATTCCTAGCATCCTAACGATCACAATAGCCTAAAAGTTTCCCACTGATCTACGAGCACATTCCTGGATTTTAAGGAGTGGCCTGGAATGCCAATGATTTATTTGCTCTACGTCATCTTACCTGGTCAGGACACGTGTAAAACAAGGGTGACTCGTCCGTAAGAATCACGCAGGTCGCACAAAAAAAAAAGAAAGAAAGAAAAACCTGCTGACCGGAGATCAACCGTGAACGCGTTCTGTTGGGACTTGACTCTGTGTTGCCGCTGATCCGGGATCAGTTACACCACATTCTCAGTCCTTAAATCGTTGGGGACTGGGTGGGGTATCCGGAAGTGAGCCGAAAAAAGGAAGAGTTTAGGCAACTGAAGAAATTGGGGTTAGAGAAAGCAAGGGGAGGGGAAGAAAGACTTCATGACATTAAAACTCATTCATTAATTCGAATGAGAAACCGAACATCAAAACGCCTTGCCACGTCCTTGCTCGCGCTAAATTCAACTTTCAAAACCTCCTGGCCGAGATACTATATTTCGTTCCTGTTTTTCTTTTTACAAACACTATTATTTGTATCTAATAAAATAAAAGAAAGCATCGGTCCAATCAAAAAGACAAGCGCGTGAAACATCTGATCCTCACGTTACTTCCACTCGCTCTGCGTTTGACTTGTTGGCGGGGCGTTGGTGCCTTGGACTTTTTTCTCTCTCATACTCTTATTCGCGGCTCGGTCCAGTACGCTGCTCGAGAGGAATCTGATTTATTCGACCACACTACTCCTAAAGCAACACATAAAAATGGCCGGATCCAACAGCATCGATGCAGTGAAGAGAAAGATCAAAGTTTTACAACAGCAAGCAGATGAGGCAGAAGAAAGAGCCGAGATTTTGCAGAGACAAGTCGAAGAAGAGAAGCGTGCCAGGGAGCAGGTAAGTGTATCAATGTATCCACAGCGATACTTGTATTCACGTAAAACCGTCTCATTTCTCGATACAATCGCTATGTTGTATCATATGCATTTTTCTGCGGAGGTGGTGCGTTTTTACTTTCACGCCCAGATTTAACACCCTTTGCGAAGAATTATGTGACTGAAACAATGTAAAACTTATTTCGATATCTAATAAACAAAGTATGCGCTTAGAGTGGTCTGTGACAACGATTTGTTCATTCTAGACCATCAAGTCTAAGAAAAGATGGGCCGGTTAGATGGTTATTGCAAAACCTACAAGCTAATGCGCACACTGGTTCATCTTCATTTAAGATTTTCATTTGTACCCGCGTTTATAGTTCATAAGAGAAATGCAAAAACCCAGAGCGAGATATATTGGCGAATATAGATACAAAAATCATGCGATGTCATGTCACTTTGTGTGCTTAGATGTGCTAACCTCAGATGGTTTTTAGCTCATCCTCCTAGTCTCACATTGTTTGCTGGATTTTTGTGGGTGAGGCCTAAAGGAAGTAACAAAATAGATTCCGCTGAGTCACTCATTCTCAGTTATTTCTTTAGAGAATCTTTCATTTGTGTAATTTTGTGTTCAAATAGTGCTTTTCGCGTCATTGGTCTGTTATCGTTCGAGCACGGTAACATCTGGGTCATCAGGTGCTCAATCGCCACTTTTGAGTTGTTCACGCATGTTACTTGGGCTTTTAGCAGCCTATTTTAACCTTTGGCAACTTTTGTGAATTTTAATTGAATTAGACACTTGTCTGGGTTGCATTTTTTTGTGTGTGCTTGAAGTCGCTTATCACCCAACCATGCCTTCCGTCTCATTGGCATTGCGTGATATGAACTCACCCGCAGACTTTAGATTCCTCAGTCCTTATTAGGAGCGAAACTCCAGTGTTTGTTAGCGGTGTCGTCATATCCGGAAGCCGTGCACTAGCGCTGTTTCTCAGCTGACGAGGCGCGGCTGTTAACCTGGAGTGTTTGTTAGCGGTGTCGTCATATCCGCAAGCCGTGCACGAGCGCTGTTTCTCAGCTGACGGGGCGCGGGCCGCGCGGTTGTTAACCTGTTTTTGAGCTTCGCGCCCACCGAGTTTCAGTGGTCTTAGACCGTTGATGTTACTGTATAAACCAAGTAAATCTTCAGTATTGTTAAAAATGTGACTTTATTTCAATAAACTTGCAGAAGTGCCCCGCCTTATTCAGTTGCACTAATGAATGAAAGGCACGATCGCTTCCTATACAAAAACTTCCTCAGGATTTGTAGTTTCTGACAAAATAGAAGTTATTTTCGATATTGCTGCTAGAATGAAAATCTTATAAGTGATTCCTCTTGAAATAATTTCAGAATCTTGAAAGATTCTGACATCTGTTTGAAGGAGTTTAGGTACATATTAACTAGATCAGGCTGGGGCCCCAAGAGCCCATTCCTATGATGTTTTTGGTGGTTATATGGTTGCTAGGGTGTAGTATCTGGTTGCTAGGGCGTGGCTAGGAAGTTGCAATGGTGTTGTGAGTGACTGCCTGCTATCTGAGTCAAAAAAGCCCACTACTAAGTCTCTACAATATTGTGATGCAGAGATATCCATTTCCTTTATGTCTGAGGGATTTTTGCCTGTTTTTTCATCCACTGGGTGAACATTAGAAAGTCATAAGCACGCCTTTCTTCAGTAAGCAACATTTGAGGCATCATTAATGTCCATAACTCAGTGTGACATGTTCCATGCTGAAATTTAGTTTGGAACAATGATTTGAATAATCCCTTTCCTTAGTCAAAGCATTATTAATACTGACGCCTTGCTAAAAAAAATTGAGTCACTTTGTACACTCACTCATCACAAAATAATTGCCCATTGCAAACATAGTGGTGCCACTCTGCTTAAGCAGAAGCTCCCAGATGATTCCACCACATTCAATTTTTCCATTGTCTCATTGGTTCCAGTTTCCAGTTTTGACTCCATGTTTGTCGCCAAGTCGTCTTGGTTCTTCCAGATTATTCCAGTGTTTCCCCATCTTCCTGTTTCTTATCTCACATCACGCTCCCCGTGTGGCGATTGAAGGTCAGTGGAATAGTGTATCTGTACTAATCTCCTGTTGTTTTTGTCATGTTTGCCTTGTAGGCTGAGGCAGAGGTGGCCTCTCTGAACAGGCGTATCCAGCTCGTTGAGGAAGAGTTGGATCGTGCTCAGGAGAGACTGGCCACAGCCCTGCAGAAGCTGGAGGAAGCTGAGAAGGCCGCAGATGAGAGCGAGAGGTAAGTGTGCCTAGTCAGGCATACGCATTCAGAGTGATGTTATATCTTCATTATTCCCACCCTAACTTGCCCTACTTCCGTTTAATTCGCTCTCTCTATGGAATAGAGGGATGAAGGTGATTGAGAACAGGGCTCTGAAGGATGAGGAGAAGATGGAGCTCCAGGAGATCCAACTCAAGGAGGCCAAGCACATTGCTGAGGAGGCCGACCGCAAATATGAGGAGGTAATTTAACCAGTGTTATTTCAGTATTATTTATATAGTATTGTAGTATTTATTATTATTTTGAAATAAGCTTTTATTATTGTATTGTATTTTTTATTTTCATTAAGTATTTTAATTTATTTCAGTTCATGAAAACATATTTTTATTGGTTGTGCAATAGGCAGTAGGTTCAAAACAAAGCACTTTTGGCATGGGACGACAACATAAATGCACTACTTTACACTACTTTTATAGTTCTTCAAAAAAATTTACTCATGCTGTTTGAAACTCTTATGATTTTATTTCTTCTGTGAAACTCAATAGATTTAATGCATCCTTGCTGAATAATATAACATTTTAGGTTTTTATTTTAACACTTTTTATTTATTTTTGTTCATTTTTTTAGAGCTCTTCAGTTCTTCATTGTATGGTCATGTGCAAGCAGGGCTGTGAAATATCATATCTATTTGTGTTTTCAGAAGAAAGTGATATTTGTTTTAAATGACATGGGGTCTAGTAAATGTCAGTTTTTATTTTTGAGTGAACTGTCCCTCACAAAACGATAATTTAAGGCCTCTCTTCTACTGTTCATGTGTTTAACATCATCTCTGTTACTCTGCCACTGCTGCTGGCTTGTCTTCATGTCTTTCCTTTGCCCTGTGCCCCTTTCTTTTCTGCTTCCTCCAAAATCAAAACGGCTGCTCTGTGTATATAGCAAATGTGCTGAGCTGGAGGAGGAGCTGAAAAATGTCACCAACAATCTTAAGAGTTTGGAGGCCCAGGCTGAGAAGGTAGGGAGTGTGTGTGTGTTTCCTTCTGCACGATCTCTGATTGGTTGCAGTGTTGGTCCCTTTTTTAACCCTCAAAGGAACTCTAATTCAGTCCCCACAAATGTGCCTTGCAAATTGCCTTCCAGGCAATCAAATATAGGCTTCCTAATTACCAAACCAGTGATCTAACTGGTCATGTGAGCATAACATGAACACCCTCATTTACAAGTGCCCTTTTGTGTGGTGTACAACTGTATATCATCATCCGAAGCAAAAGGCCACATATGTCGGACCAGATTACAGTGGTGGACCATTACATCAAGAAAAAGCTGTAATTGGACACAGGGGTACAGTGAAGACCCCCCTCTCATTTTCCATATCCATATCACCATTAGATGAGATGTTATTCAGCATGCCTGAAGCACTGTTGCGTAATGAAATTAATGAAGTGCCACCATTTTGGTCCCTTACAGAATCAAGCGCAACCAGTCTCGGAAGCCTTTAGATTAAGAAAGCAGAAGTGATGCTAATGAATGCTGTGTTGCATGTGATTAGCTTTTGACAGAAACACCCATTCATTTGCATGTGATTCTGCGGCATGCTGTGTGTGTGTGTGTGTGTGTTACAGTACAATAGAATTTTAGATGGAATCCTATTATTAGATCTAATTTATTTTCCTAATCAAAGCTGTTGTTTGTTGCACTTTATGGTTTGCATAAGTAGTGGTGTTGGTTTAACTATAGAAGTCCACAGCCTATAGAAAGTCTACTACTACTTCTTTCCCCCAATATATAAAATTTCTCCTTGAATTCTGGCTGTTTTTCCCTTTCTATCGTACCTGGTGTTTTGTTGATGTTGCGGCTGCATTCCTGTGCACATGTCCTGATCTGTTTAAAGCTCTGGCAGCACACAGCAGCAATGTTAGCCATCGTGTCACAAGCCTTGCACAACAGCAGCAGGCCAGAACTCAGCCAGCTTGCATAGAAACTTTGAGGAAAAGAGGGGGAAAACATGCCTCATAATGTCAAAACATAGACAGCTGCGCTACTTTTCACCTCAAGAGCTGTTGTAGAAACATGTCAGCATTAAAGTGTCATGAAATCGGTTGTCTATTTGAAGGGTGCCAAACTCGCAGAGTGTGCATGCAGAGTTGTAAGATTCTCATAAGACCCCACCCCAACTTATTTTCCTATTTCCCTACAGTATTCCCAGAAGGAAGACAAGTATGAGGAAGAAATCAAGATCCTCACTGATAAGCTGAAGGAGGTGAGATGATTTCACATGGTGATTTGGTTTCTATTAGGGCAGCCAAAGTTAATGTTAACTTGTGCATTAAATGTATATCGTTTCTTACATTTTGTCCTTATTCTGTTCAGTGACTGGTAAGACCTGCACTAGCACAGATTTCCACATGCAGTGCACAGTCTGCACGCACAACAATCCCATAATCATGTATCAGTAAATGGAGAAATGAGTTACTAGGGCTTCCTCATTTTTAAGTCACTTTGATTGAAAACATCTGTTACATTTACAGTTAGCAGATCCAAAGTGAAGAGGAACAAAAGCAAGTCAAGGAGCCAACAATATTTGTAATATACAATTCCAGGTTTATTTGACCTAGATTAAACTAGGTGTAATTCCAGTAATCTTAGTTTTTGTCCTAATAGGATCTGTATGTAGGCCTGTCACAAAAACAACTTTTTGTTGTGCGATATATTGCCCCAGAAATAATTGCGATAAACAATATTATTGTCATTTTAAGACCATTTTATGCTACTGAATATATAATCATAATATAAAAGCATAATAATGCAAGAAGGCCAACACACTTTAAAATGACGACAAACATTTCATTCTTAAGAATATTTAGATCATGGAAATTAAGTATCAAAATATTAGATACCTTAAAAAACATGAATAAATAGTAAATAAACATTTTCTAACAAAGTGCAAAGTAGCAAGTAGAAAAAAAGAAAAATTCAAAAATAGCTTGTATGGAGATTTTTCCATCTACAGATTTTTCCTGGACCTTCTTTTCTCTGTAAATTAAGGGTGCACACTATTGCTGAAAAACACAATCACTACTCAAAAAATTTATTTTCAATCAAGTTTCAAACACTTCCATCGTTCAACAAACTGGTAGTCCTGTCCCAAACTCATGCCGCTGGTTATGTTACACCCATTTAAGCCACTCTTCACAATTATGAAATGTAACATTTTACCTTTGAAATTTTCGATCAATTAGGGTAACTATAAATATCATTAGGTTTATTGTGATTTACTATTTTTTTTTAATAAATGGATTTTAATGATTTTTATTAATGTTGAGTAACTTTTCAGTTTTATTTTGATTTATTATGCAGATTTTTGCTCATAGTTTGATCACACGTCTTTCTCTGCTAGGCTGAGACCCGTGCTGAATTTGCTGAGAGGTCTGTGGCCAAACTGGAGAAAACCATTGATGATTTGGAAGGTATGATTGTGTCATTCTCTTTAACACTTTTTCCTTCCATTAGCTATAATATGATCCTGTTTTTTTTATATACTGGTCGTACTCTATTCATAGCATTATCTCCCTGTCCTTTTCCTGTCCGCTTTGACATTTTAATCTTTATTTGCTGTTTTTTCCTATTTCCTTTTATCTTTCCTTCATACTCTCTCCCTCGTCTGACTTTTACCTTCCTCTCTGCTCTGTCTTTCTTTCCTTGTGTGTGAACAGATGAGCTTTACGCTCAGAAACTCAAGTATAAGGCCATTAGTGAGGAGCTGGATCATGCCCTCAACGACATGACCTCTATGTAAATACAGGCTTGTGCATGTGTGTGAAGCTCTGCTACTTACGGTTTGCTGTTGCTAGGTCAGCTGAGTTTTGCCACTATGGTGGATTTTTGAGTCTCGTGACTGAATTGGTTACCTAACCTTGAGCTTCATGACCTCTGATTGTATACTTTTACTATACAGTATAAAGCTCAGTCGCAAAGAGTTAATAGTTGACAGGAGCCATTGTTTCACAGTTTCTTTTGAACTGCTTTGAGTCTGTGTGAATGATGTCATGACTTGGGCAATTACTATAGTGTGATTCTAATTTCTAACTTGTATGCACCTGTCAAGTAACTAATATGCTAACAGCATTAAATGGTTCCTTATTTGCCTACAGATAAAGGGGACATTTTCTACCCTTCTTTAAACAGGCTGATCTGATTTTGCTGTGCCTTTAAGAGTTTGAGAAGCAGTACCAACTCCTACCATGTTTCTGAATATTGAATAGTGTGGATATGCAAATGTGGGTGGTCATATGTTAATTTTACTAATAGTTCTTCTGACCTCGTAACTAGGAATGGGTACAGCAACTCGCGAGACACATTCACATCAAATGTTGATTCGGTAGAGTTGCACTCACAAGACACTGCACTTATTCGCAATCACAAAAGTAAATTTTTTCCGCATGCTTTAAAGCCTTGCCGGTTAATCGTTTCATTTGCATGCTGTTCTAACATGTGCTTATTCAGAGCGCGTACACCCGAAGCATCCGTACGGGCTGGTCAAACAGCACCTGCTTACTTGGTTATCTTGGTTATCGTCTAATTGCGCTAATATTGTCAAAAACACACAAGGTTTACATATAAACACAGTTAATTATGTCTAAAGTGAAAGTAGACAGAAAAACAGATGCGTGCAGCTCTTAAAGCGGCAGTACTCTACATGCTGCCACTTGTCATTAAAGGGATAGTTCACCCAAAAATTTGAATTCTGTCATTATTTACTCAGTCATGTTGTACCAAACATGTATTAATTTTTATTTATTCTTGTGCTGAACACAAAATAATATATTTTGAAGAATGTTGGTTACCAAACAGTTGCTGGTCCCCACTGACTTTATAGTAGGAAAAACAAATATGAAAGTCTCTGGGGACCAGCAACTGTTTAGTTTCCCACATTCTTTAAAATAGCTTTTATGTTCAACAGAAGAAAGAAACTCATTCAGGTTTAAAACAACTTGAGAGTGAGTAAATGACACAATTTTCATTTTTTGGGTGAACTATTCCTTTAATGTTAATAAAATAAAACACAGAGAAAAATAACTTGCTGCTCTTGACTGAAGAACTTTAATACAGTTGCTAAAGTTCAGCAGTAATAAATTAACTTGAAATTTTCAACAACTTTTCACTTCATATCTTTTTGCACCAAATAGTATCGATAACAGTATCGATAAGTACCGGTATATTGATTATATTATCGATAAAATTTAAACGATACCCATCCCTACTCGTAACCATACAGCATTACGAATGGCCCATTTTATAGCTTGCTTTTTATAAATAGGCATTTTGGGTTGTGGAAGAATGTCTTGTTGTAGACCTGAACAACCCTGTTTTCCATGATATGTCCCTTTTAAGGCTCATGTTAATAATATTAAGGATTTTTAACCTTAAATTGGTGATTTGAGAGTTTTTTTTTTTTTTTAGAGAGAATGTCTTGTTGTAGACCTGAACAACCCTGTTTTCCATGATATGTCCCTTTTAAGGCTCATGTTAATAATATTAAGGATTTTTAACCTTAAATTGGTGATTTGAGAGTTTTTTTTTTTTTTAGAGCTTTGGCATTTATTGATTTTAGAATTAACGTTTGTTCTTAACACTTGCATGTTCGGTTTGCTCATTCTGAAATGTAGAAATTTTGTCATGAGGTGTTTACCATTGGTGTCTATTTACAGATAAAGAGTTTCTGGACTGTTCTGCGGCTGACTGTGACTTCAAGAAATTCTTCTTCGTCTCCTCTGACTGTCCTTATTTTTTTTGCTTGCTTCTTCTCTGATCTTCTGTGTACACTTCTCTTTTCACGTATTTTTCCATGTGCTTGTGTCTGTAGTTTCAGTTTCTCCATTTAAGCCTTGTTCTGTTTCTGCTTTCTTTGAATTTCTGTTCTTTAGATGTTCGTTATCTGCCCCAACATCTTCTCTTATCTGGATCAGACTGTATTCAGAGACTTGTGTTCTTTGTTTGTCGCTGGTTTTGCTCTCTCTTGTGACCTTTGCTGTATTTTTCATGCCTTGTGTCCATGTTTATTGAAGGGAGGAAAAAAAGCTCTACTCTTTTGAATGGCTGCTTGTCTCTCTTTATTACAGTGGGCTGGTGTTGGGAAACCAGGCATTTACCAATTTTAGAGTGCACATGAATAATATCTTGTGGTTGAAAGATAAAAGCTTGGATAAATTCTGCATCACTAATTGTGATTAATCACGAGTTCGAGCTTTTGGTTAAGATTATCACTTGTGCATAAGGCCACAGATTTGAAGGTCTGAAATTACGAAAAAAAGAGGTGTGATTTAATGTTTACAAATGGCCAAAATGTCGTAGCCAACTAGAGGAAGTTCTTAAATTAAATCTTAAAACAGTTATACTTTGTTTTTAATACTTAATCACTGTATGATGCTGTTTTCCCTCATTAAGACCTAATAAGGTTTTACACAAAGTAGTGTTAAATACAATCAGCTGTTGAAGTTGGAAAAAATCAGAAATTCCCTTTCCTTTGACAGGCTGCCCCCCCACTTTAAATAAATCTAAAGGGGGGCTTGACAAGAAGATGTAGTTGGGTAGATCTAGGGGTTGGTATAGATTATAGATGGTAGGGGGCAGGCAACTTTTCTTTAGGCTAGAAACATTGATTCTTGCTGGCCATTCAAATCCGTTTCGTTTTTCCAAAAAGGACAATTTCCATTTTGAAATGAAAGCTGTCTGCCAAAATGGCTGAACAGCTGTCAGCACTTGTGAGAAGTTATTTAGGCCCAATCCCAATTCTATTTTATACCCCTTCCCCTTCCCCTACCCCTCCGCCTATCCCTTCCCCTTGTCCCTTGAAACAGAGTGTCAAGGGGTAGGGGTGAAAATATTCCCCTAAGAAAGGGACACCACTATTATACCGTCACACGTCATCATACGCCATCTAGCTCCTACAATACACACACCTATGCTGGTGTGCATTAGAGCCTTTAATTACCATTCTATATTAATGTGCTGCTTACTGACACACACACACACACACACACACATCAGATATCGCGCAGCTCACTCATCCAGGAGCAAAGGAACTTGTCAACGCTGCCCCACAACTTTTATTAATAACAGTTTGAATACTGAATCGATAGGTTATATTTTCCAGCAATGAGAGGATAAAATAGCTGTTTTTGAAGTAAACCCACTCGAAAAAGAGAAACGCGCACACACGCAACTTCTCTCTCTCTCTCTCTCAATTTCAATTTTCAATTTAAGAGTGCTTTATTGGCATGACAAAAATTATACATTTGTATTGCCAAAGCAATTGCAGCTGGACTGCTTACAAATAGTACACATGTATTAACAGAAAGAAAAAGAATAATAGTAATAATAATATATAAAAAGTATTAAGCATGTAGTGCAAAATGAATTACTAATGTATGTAAGTATATAAACTAGAAATAAAAATAAAATAAGGGATTAGACATATTTACAGAAGCAAAATGTACATCTAAGTAATATAATACAGTAATTTGGCATAATATAATGTAGATGTGCTGGAAACATCAGATCAGGGCAGATCAGGCCCTTCCCCTTACCCCTACCCCTCCAACCAAAAGAGAATCGAGACACCCCTACCCCTTCACATGAACGCGCGAAACAGAGGGGTAGGGGAAAGGGGAAGGGCTAAGGGGTAGCATTGGGATTGGGCCTAAATCAGCTGAGCAACAGCAATGGGATTGTTTTATTGGGGGATGAAATGAATACATGTTTAAGGAAGATCTTAGCTATTCACTAAAACCAACCAGCGGCCTTGTCGAAAGTTACTGAAAAACAAGTCCTTGTCTTTCTGAAGTCTCAATGGATGGCCTGATGCCATAGAGCAAAACTAAAACTCTGTAGTTCAGCTGCAATTTCTCTGAAAATTGGTTTATCGTTTAGTTATTTTTACCTCATGGTAAAAGCAAAGCATTGACATGCCAGTGTTGCGTAATTTTAACACTGGGGGATACAAAGCCAACATATTTGAATGGAATGTTATCTACAGTATCCGTCACCATAAATTTGAGTGGTTTCACAAGTAGTATTTATTAAAGCTGAATTGTAATGCAAATATAATGCTGACACAGAGGATTTGTAGTGGTAGCTTAACATTGTATCAGAATGTATCCAGTTACGTTTTTGTCTCAAAATGCTCTATAATTTAAGATTTTCAAAAAGGAGTTTACAGCCTAATATGGTTGCTTAGAAAACCATCTATACTGGTTCTTCAAGGAACCTAGGAAGTCTTAACTTTAGACCTTGTAGCCAAATCAAAAGTCTATATTATAATAATAAACCACATACAGTGTTGAATTACAATATGATTTTGAGGTTTATTTCATTTTTTTCCTGTCCTCCGGGGGACTTTTTTTTTTTTTCATTGCAGAGAAACTAAGAGATGCTAAAGAGGAGAACATCAAGATCCATGCCACTTTGGACCAGACCCTGAGCGAGCTCAATAGTTTCTAAGGAAGACCTGGAGCAGGGAAAAAAGCCTCCTCTTCCCTTCCTGACACCTTCATCTCATTTGGTTTCTTTGTCTCTGCACATCTGATTCTTCTGTTTTTCTGTTTTTTTTTTTTTTTTTGCTGGAGGATGGGCTCACCAAGCCAACCAGTAAAAATGTGGTGCCTCTCGATGGTTCAAAAGTACTTCAAAAGCTCATCTCCTCAGAAAATCCCAAGTGATTTCAGGAACAATCTGCTATGGTATTCCTAAAGTGTCAAATGTTAAATGCTAGCCATATGGTAGCATTTTGGTCTTTGACCATCAGCCAATTCTCTCAATAATTGTTTAATTTTACTGGAGGCTGATTTACTTAACATTTTGTGCCATAAAAGTCTCAGTCTCAGCTTGGCTTTAGATCCTTTTTTCCTGTTGATCATGTGACAGGATGTTTTTGCTGGTCTTGTTGATGCCTGATCCACTGCTCTCCTCTTACCTCTTCACACTTCGTCCTGCACAAGTTTCTGTTGCCTGTTTGTCGGCGTCACAGGTTTTGGGACCAAAGCCACATCATGTGGTCTGTAACGGTATGCACAACCATGCCGCAATGAACTTTTTGTTTTTTTATTATTAAAAGCATTTGCTTCCATTTGGAGTTTGAGTAATATATGTATTCTTTTTTTGGGTTTAATCCCCCTGCATTTTAACACACAACTTTACTTTTGCAAACCACTATTTGAAATCCTGCACTGTTATGGGCTTATGGTGGACATCTTTTGAGCAGAGGAGGCCAAGTCATGGTTTCTTCAGGTGGCCCGTTTTGTTATTTTTAGTTCGTTTTATTTGCTTTAAAGAGCCATATTCTATCCAGGGAAGAAAGGTTGAAGAGTATGAATTTTTTTTTTTTTTTAGTGAGTTCAAAGCAGTGGCACTGCCAGATTCGAAAGTTCCAAAAGCCATGCAGATCTAAATATGTATTATGAACACAGTAAATGGGAGCGAAATGTAACACTTAATAGTATAAAGATTAAAAGGGGTGAACACATAATTTTAAGTGGAAAAAGCCCACAATGATGTGTAATCACTTTGTTACTGTCTGTATCTTGTGTAATGATACCTACATTTTTTTTTTTAAATAAAGACCATGATTTTTACTGTCACTGAACTGGTGTTTCTCAGGATCTGGGTCTCTTCTGGTTTTCTTGCACGTTCAGATGGTTATTGCCATTTTATTTAAGAATTATCTGTAGTGTGGTTACTTGAAACAGAAAAATGCACTCTCAAACAGTCACTGATATTTGTTTAGAGACAAAAATATCACAGTTTTGAGATGGGCATCAGTACTGTTTGTTCATCGTGGGGGGGAATCTAATTTCACCTTTTAGTTTTTACTCATGCTATACATACGAGTCATTTACATTTAATTTAAAAATGAAAATTTTAGAATTTTGAAATGTTAAGACACTTTCTGAAATGGTTAGGATTATTAGATAATTAAGACCCTGCTGTACTTAGATTCAGTAGTTTCATATTTTCAAATAATATTCAAACAATGTGTGTGCTCTACTGTTCAAATGTTTGGGTCAAAACTATTTAGCAGCACAACTGTTTTAAACATTGACTTGAGCATCAATTCAGCATATTAGAATGATTTCTAAATCTGAAGGATCATGTGACACTGAAGACGAGTAATGGCTGCTGAAAATTCAGCTTTGCTATCACGGGAATAAATCACATTTTTAAAATACATTACAGTAGAATACAGTTATTTTAAATTATTTAAAAAAAAAAAGAGAGACTTCTTTCAAAAAAAACAGTAAAATATCTTACTATCCACAAACTTTCGAACAGTGTGTGTACCTATATGTACATTGTGAAACATGGTGAATATGCTGTATATTTAAATGAATTTGTGTTTTGTATGAGTGAATTCAGTAGTGCGGTCGTTCTCTGATTTCCACAGGCGGGTTTTCCCCCCAAACAGACAGGGAAGTTTATGGTTGGCCTTCATCACCACAGCAACTGTGCAGGAATCTGGTTTTCTAATGGCCTTGCACCAGGGCGGGAAATCGACTGGCTGCTTTCCTCTAGAGATGACGGACAAGAACAATGAGCTTCAACATCAGCTGCATCAGAGTGCTTATAGTCATGTAAGTATGCGCCTCTGAAACTCACTGTTCGCAGCAGCCCACTCCAAAAGGCTCGAAACACACACACTGGAAACATTCGTCATTTATCCAGGCCTCCCCGATGTCAAATACACGGCCATTGTGCTCACAGCTGGCTGCAGCGAAACGGTGATGCACAATCAGCTTGTAACACTCCAAAGAGAAAGGAAAACTTGAAATCGCATCATATGACCCCTTTAACACTTTCAGTCACACATCATGTTTAGCCCAACCTATATTGTATTGTTTACTCCACTTTACCTTTTGCGTTGAAGTTGCATTCTCCACTGCTGAATACTCCATGACAGAGCTGAAGGATGCTAACCACGCAAAACACAGCTTGTAAAACCTTCATCTCGTTTGTCTGCATGTCTAGAAGAAAAAAATGGAGGGTAAATGAGCAACTATAGATTTATTCTGAGTTGTTTGAATTATTGGGTTCAGCTGCTCTGAGCTACCAGTGATATTTTTGTGTTTTTAATTGCAGAAAAAGAAAGATTTGCATCAAAATAATTATAAGCCATTTGATTTCACTGATGATAGGATATTTACAATCAGGAGGGCTTTTATTACGTTTAAAAATGTTTTTAGGAAAAATTAACGTGTGCTTTAAAAATACTTATAGGATTGTGTGGCATTGTTGGTTATTTCAAAATAAAGTGTTATATTTAATCTAAGCAAATGCAGCACAAACAGCATTAATAGATTTTTTTTGTTGCTTTGTTCTTGTTATCAAAAGGTTAGATCACATTATTATTGTTGTTACATGGTGGATAAAAGTAGCATTTATTCCGTACAGCAAAAATAAATTTTTAATTGATTCCTATTTATAATTTCTCATCTTTTCTCCCCCCCATAGTAGCATATAGCTGTGTATTTGGAATACATTACCAAGCCAGATATTATTTAAAAGAAAGCTATTAACTTCTAATTTTATTTTAATCTTTTATTGTCATTATAAAGTGGGTTTCATTTTTATACTTATATTAATTATGGTATTTTTATTTGTTTTCATGTGATGTGTTTGGTGACTTTTTTTTTTTATTATTATTATTGTAAAGCACTTTGTACTGCATTCCTTGTACACTGTCAGAAAAAAAGTGCAAAAAATGTACCTGTACAACAGCTTGTCACTGGGGCTGTACCCTCAAAGGGACATCTTTGTACCTTAGAGTAGTAATAAGTACCCTTAAGGTAGTAATATGTACTGTTATGGTGCTATTATGAACCCTTTATATGGGTAAAGAAGGTACAAATGTGTTCTTTGGGGGTTCTGCTGCAGTGACAAGCTGTTGTACCCATAAAAGTAAAATTTTTGCACCTTTTTTTCTCAGAGTGTATTAAAGGTGCTATACAAATAAAGTTTAATATTATTAATATTATTTCACATATTATGTTCTTAATAATGTCTTTTGAAAGTTGGTTATCCTTTTAGCGTCACATTGTTAAAGAGATAATATAAAAAGGAAAACAAATCAGTTTCTTACCTTTCAGGATTCTTCCTTTTTCCCTCGTTTCCTGTTTTCGTGCTCTGTCCTCGTCTGGTGTTCTCTGTCTGGAAATGTGTTCATGTGTTCTCCCTGATGCTCTGTCATACAGCAGCTTTATATACCTGCATTTCTCTCCTCTCGTCTTCACCACTCCCCCACTCTGTCATTTATGTTTATCCTCACTCTATTGCTCTCTTTTCTTTCTTTCTGTGCACACAGAATGTTTTACTGCTGATAAGATGAGTGAACCTAAATTGCCTAAATTACTAAGTTTTCTATTGTTATATTATATTATATTATATTATGTATTTTTACAACCTTAATTGACAAAAAAATGAGTAAATTGCCTTCAGGAACTCCAAAACATTGCATATTTGTATGAATGTAACTCTTTTTATATTATTATATTATATTATATTATATTAAAACTACATTAGCTTCAGCAACGCATATTTGTACTCTATATGAGTCTTGTTACAAGTTAAATGTCTTTTCTTCATTTAGATATTGCTTTTTCAGTGGTTACATAATTGTAACAAAGGTGTCTGCTTCTGGTTTATGCTTACCTCATACATTGCCTTTTCAGAGGTCAGAGGTCACATTATAACTCTTAGATGCTGATGATATTTGACTTGACATCGGAGAGGTCACTCACTGGATTGTATTTAATCATCATGGTTGACGTCACTGTCTGAGTCTGCATGTGTGTGTTAAACAGCATCTGTACACATGGTATTGGCTGCATGCACACAGATAACATGCTGTTGTGTGTTCCATACACATGCACACACATGCAAACATGCCTGCAGAGTATTTGACGTCATTGATCGCTCTTACAACCTCTGTGTCTGACTGAATGTATTTCTTTGTCATTCATTAGTGAATATGGAAATCTATTACAATCTTTCTGGATGTTTGTTGTTATGGCAGTGAGATGTGGATAAACGTATTAGCTCAGGGGCTTCAGATAGCCGAGTGTAAAGAGATGATTGGGAAGACAAGATTGTGTTTGTTCAATTGTCTTTTATTGTCTGTCTCGTCTCAATCTTTACAGCGCTGCTAATGCAAACACACCTGCAGCTCAGTATATTGTTGTACACACACATTCATACTAACCTCTCTTGCTACAAACTCTTTATGCTAATTATAAGCATAACATATAACAGTTTTAGCCAAGTGTGCACAGTGATGAATGTTTTGGAACTTTTAATAAAGTACACTACCTTTCAAAAATGTTGGGTCAGTAAAATTTTCTTAACGTTTTTGAAAGAAGTCTCTTAGACTCACAAAGGCTGCATTTATTTGATAAAAAAAATACAGTAAAAACAGAAACATTGTGAATTTTTTTTAAACCTTTCACATAAAACTACGACAAATTATTTAAAAAATCTGTTAGAAATGTTCTATTCCGTTCTGTTGTACTAAGTACAAGTCTCATCTAGATTTGAAAACCGCATTGTTTTAAGAAGTCACTCCTGTTCTGCTTGGTCTAAACTGTCTTATATTTCCTGTTTCCAAGCACATCGCTCTCAATAAAAAGTTTCAGTTTGGTTTGCAAACCTCGACTGCTGGCAGCAATGGTAAGTGCCTTTAAAACTGATTTTTAAAAATAAAAATCACTTTCTGTTTGGTTTCTAAATATTTTTTTTCACTAAAATGTTGCATTTGGAAGATTTCATGCTTTGAGACTAGGAAAAACATAATTAAGCAATGCTGGCAAACAGTCACCATACCGTTCAGAACAGATCGAAACTAAATATTTCTGAATATTCATAACATTTAAAAAATGTCATTTTTACAGATGTCTGAAGAAAATCAAAGTGAATGGTAATACTCCTTATATTTTAGATACCAGTGAAATCATTTTTGCTCCTTTTTCATCATGCAGCGTCACAGGACATGCATGATAATTCATATTTAATGTATTATATGATGGAGTTGTTTGGAACATTTTCTGTCCCTGGTTGATTTTCTACAGCATTACAGTGAGAATCGGACATTCACTGAACGAGGCTGAGAAGAACCATGTGACCAGCAGGAGAGAATCAGCTCTGGAGTGTCTTAAAAGACATGAGATACATTGTAGCCTGGTAAGTGTATTTCAGCTTTTCCCAGACTAATTAATTTTGCAGTTTGTAAGCCATTTAAACTCATTTTATTGTTAATAAAAAAGTGATAAATTAGTGGTTTATTTCATCCTGACCCTGTAAATGAACCGGAATGAATTATATAAAACATGATTACAGAATGTTAAAACCCTGACAATCAAGTGCAAATATAGAGAGCAGTTCTGTTGTTGGGAAATGTCTTTCTTGGAAGGGTTTGGGCAGGTCATCTTGACAAAGCCAAATTCATTCTTTGATGACTGAACTCCTCACAGAAGAGGGGGCATTTTTTATATAGTCACTTCATAAATGTGGTGTTTACTCTTTACAGGAAGAGATGCCCAACATCGCACTGGTGGCTTCAGGAGGAAGTGAAAGAGCGATGTTGGGTTTGCTGGGATCACTGCTTGCACTGTTTCAAGATGATCTGTTGGACTGCGTGCTGTATCTTGCTGGACTCTCTGGATCGACCTGGTAAGTGAACAAACACGTGAACTCCGATTTAGCTCATCAGATCCAGCTGAATGTAAACAAATGCTGAACCTCTTTTTCTTCATAAGGTGCATGGTGTCTTTATACAAAGAGCCTAATTGGTCCAGCAAGCTGGAAAAAGTGAAAGAAGACATTAAAAATAAACTTGGTGGAAACATCAGTTTCAAGGAAAAATTTAAAAAACTCAAAAAATACTACAGAGAAAAAGACAACTTCAGTTTGACAGACTTCTGGGCAGTGCTATATATAACCATGATTGTGAAAGAGGTGAGAGCAGTAATCTTGTTTGCATAATTTAAGCACTACGGCATGAAATGCTGTGATTTGATGTTATATTAAAAATAGTCACAGCTAAATGGTGTTTTGGGTATGATACACAGTAGAGTAACTGCATGCCACCCGTGGTGTAAAAAGTTTTCTACATGTTTTTAGGCAAATCAACATGATTAATACTTGTATGTCAAATATTAACATAAGTGGAGCACTGTACTGACATTGAATTGTTCTGTGGATTTTCATTTACATTTCATCCAGATTATATTAAAATCAGTTAGGTAGCTCAACTCAAAGTGGGTTACTTCAGACTTTGCAGCATTACAAGACACATCACAAATGAACATTATATATTATACTGTATAAATATATAACTCACGTAAGCTGCATTTATTTGGTCAAATATAGAGTAAAAACAACAATATTGTGGAATATTATTACAATTTCAAATAACTGTTTACTACTTTAATGTAATTTATTCCTGTGATAGCGAAGCTGAATTTTCAGTAGACATTGCTCCAGTCTTCAGTGTCACATGATCCTAAATCATACTAATATGCTGATTTTCTGCTCAAGAAACATTTCTTATTATCAGTGTGGAAACTGCTACATTTTTTTCAGGATTTTTTGATGAGTAGAAAGTTCAAAAGAACAGCATTTATTACAAATAGAATTTATTTGGTAACAATGTAAATATATTTTCTGTCACTTTTAATAAATGTAATGTGTCCTCACTGAATGTATATATATATATATATATACGCGCACACACACTATATTTAAGTATTTGAGCTGATTTTTTTCTACAGATAGATGAGCAAACTTTCTCTGATCTGAGAAGCAAACAGAGCACAAAAGATCCTTATCCCATCTACACCGTGATTGATAAGCAGAGCCATGAGGATAAACTAGATGCAGGTAATATCAGTATGTTTGTATGTTTGTATACTGTGCCTGTGACTTACAGTGTTCTGTCATAGATACGTTTGTTGAGATCACGCCACATGAGACTGGCTACTCCATCACCGGGGCCTTTGTAGATACTTCCAGTTTCGGAAGTCAGTTTGACCAAGGAGCTCAAATAAAAGACCAGCCCGAGATGGACATGATGTTCCTGCAAGGTGAACTGAAACAACACATCTCCTGGTCATCAGTCTATTTTGTTGGTTGCTGAATTAGTTTTTTTTTTTTTGCAGGTCTCTGTGGTAGTGCTCTTGCTAGCATTGAGAAAATACTAGAGGAACTGTTAACTTTAATCAAAGGTAAGTTCACTTGTTATTAATATTTGATCAAAATACAGTATGCATATTAAAAACTATAAATTATTTGATCAAAAATAAATGTTCTATTTTAATATACTTTAAAGTGTCATTTATTTCTGTGATGTTGCAAAACATAAAGATACCTGTTCTTTTTAGATTTAATTTCGGGTGAGTTAGACATGATGGGTGACTATGCGTCTTCAGACATAAAACAAACAGACATTCGCTCCCTCAGCGCTCCACATGCTGACGAGGCTGGCCAAGTGCTTTTGAATCTTGTGGAAGTGAATCGTCTGGTTTTAAGAGAGGAGGATCCTTCATCTCATATTACATTCCTGAACGACTTACTGAGAGGTATCCATCACATTACTAATAGATTTAAGCTAAGCATAGGAGTAATAACAGGCTGCTTTGAAGGATGTATTGTAAATTTACACATTTTGTTACCTGAATGAAGACTGTAGGTGATGTGTGCTTATTCAGTGCATGATCTAATTATGCTATATATTTCAGGAAATCTGCAGCAAGATAAACATGAGAACTTGTTCACCATGTCAAAGAAAATGAACAAGAAGACCGTTAAGGAATACACACTATATATATGCGACCTGCAGACATCCTGGAATCTGACATGTGAGTTTTTCTTTTATGCATAGTCTGGGACTCAAAACCCACTTTAATTGTAATCTATTCTGTAATTTATTTCTATAATAGATATTGTGATCAGAGGAGTAAGAAAAGCCAGCTTAATTAGTTATTTTCTTATGCCGATAAGAAGGAAGGGACCCATTATGTTTTGTAATCATCCTCTTAATATAGGCAATAGGATATGGGAAAACATTGCTAAATGCATTGAGTTAGTAGTTTGCTGGGTCTGGGGCACAACATACAATTTTCTGCACAACATGACAGGTGAGTAAAATAATTATTTAATAAATGAAAACAGTATATTATTGAGTACAGCACATTGAGTTCAGTGACATTTGTAATACTGGCATTACATATCTAAATGGCCATAGACTTACTGTACTAGTACATTTAAGGTTTAGAGTGGAAGTTTCATCTCTTGGATATTTGTATTACCTTCAAATTTCTTATATTGTAACGGAATTAAATGAAAAAGAATTTTAAAACATTTTATCATCATTCCAGCGGCGGAGGTTTCTCCTTCTGTCTGTCTAGAGACAATAAGGCAATATGTTGATGCTGGGATCGCCATCAACTCACCTTTTTTACCATTGCTGAGGAGAGAGAGACACATTGATCTCATCGTTTCACTCGATTTCAGTGAAAATGACCCGTTTGAGGTGAATTAACAGCGTACGGTTTTTTCTTATTAACCTGCATAGTGCATATTTACTAATAATATTCCCTCCTTCTACACATACATAATCTTTTATGCTGTTTAAATTCATAGTCACTAACAGAAACAGCTAAAACGTGCAAAAGACTACGCATTGACTTCCCTGAAGTTCCTAAAATGTCAAAAGAAGAGAAATCTGCTCCAAAGGACTTTTATGTGTTTGAAGGCCACAATGCACCGGCTGTAATTCATATTCCTCTTTTCAACATTGTGAATTGTGAAGATAAAGGTAATGTCCAGCTATTGCTTAATGATTGTTCAATGTTTAATAATAATAATTTCTATGTTTAATAATGTATAAATGAATATAGTATATATTAATAGAGTCAAGAGAAGATAAAGGTAATGTCCAGCTATTGCTTAATGATTGTTCAATGCTTAATAATAATAATTTCTATGTTTAATAATGTATAAATGAATATAGTATATATTAATAGAGTCAAGGTTAAGAATTTTATAATCATATCATGCATAAAAGCCAAACATGAAAGCTCACAAATGTTCTAAAATGTCTGTTTTAATAGCTGAAATTAAACGTTTGAAGCATACATATACGACCTTTCAAGGTCCCTACTCCAGTGACCTGATCGAGGAACTACTGGAGAAAGCTGGATTGAACATCAAAAATAACAAAAGGAGCCTTCTGACAGAGATTAAGAAAATCATCCAAAGGAAGCAATCACATATTTGTTCCTTTTGTTGATTCTCAGGTGTGGTTTGTCACATCACAATGAAAAATTCGCTGGCATTTCTCGTTCTTGTACATTAGATGGCAGCAAAGAATAGGTGGTTAGAATGAGAGGGTTCGTTTGTCTGAGCTGTATGAGGGAGTGATAGAGACCCAAACATCAGCATATAAAAACATTTTGTAGAAAATACGTAACAAGTTATATTGAATTGTATTTTTTGTTATTTTGGTCATTGGAATGAATATAGGCCTATTAAGTTAAGTTAAGCAAGTTATTAGCCTCTAATATCTTTGAAATCAGTCAGTGGCGGACTTCTTTTATTAAAGTTATATTAAAAAGAGTCTCTCCAACACCCTTTGGCATGAAACACGATGCAGCAATTTGGCCTCAGCTAAAGCACACACACACCAAAAATATTCTGTTACCAAGTTGTAACTCTTAATTACAGCTTCTCCATGTGTCCCTCAGTTCATCACCTGCATTTGTGTGACGTTATCCTAGATTACTGCATCAGAATCAAACTAAAACGAATATTTTCAATATTTTGATTTGTTTTCCATTATATAAATCATTTGTAATGTTATACTTTAGACAGACAGGGAATAGGGTTTTGGATAGGGAATAAGTAATAAGTACAGAAGTAGAATTCTTAAGAAACAGATCTTTTTTTTTCTTTTAGTAATACCATAGTGCAATAAAGCAACATGTTTTGATATAAAGTATATGACAGTATAAACACTATCATGGCATCCACTGAGCGATGTTTTCTTTTCCAAAATCCATATCCCAAAGCAATGATGAAGATGCAAACCTACAAAATTGATATTGAAGCAACTATCATGTTTAATCAAAATGTATGCATGCTTTCATTTTATATCCAATGTTTTTAAGACCCACAATAAAACAGACTGCAAAATAATGTAGTCTTCAGCTTTCTGTGGAGAGTCTCCATACCTTAATCAAAGCAGTTTACAGTTCAGCAATAATATAACAACCAATTTATAATAGAGAATCAATAACTTTATTTATAAAACCATTTTTAAGGTTACATCATAAGGGCATCTGTAGAGATGCAGATGGTCCATGCAGTTCCTTGAGGGAATGTATAAATCCACCATTTCAAAGCTGTCGAATGGTTGCTAACCAGTTACAAATTACACTGATCTGATTAGACTTTCCCTTGAGAAAAGACTTTTTCAATGAGATAATCTGTTTAATCCTGTTATAGAATGCGGTCTTGAATTCAGACTGCTGGTTTTCTTTCCGTTATGCTTTAACTACAATTTGAATTTGAGGGCAAAGTTCCCTGTAACAAAAAAAAGAAAATACAGATATTAAAATGAATTCAAACTCTGAACTCAAGATTAATCAAGATAATTTATGTTGGTGACGAGTTTTCATATCATGAGTGCATTCATATCTAATCAGAAGAAAGACATTCTTCGAAAACTCACTTTATGGTAGGTTCTTTCTTGAGATCTTCTGCAGTGGTCTTCACATAGGCACAGACTGGACTGTGGTCCTGGAGCTTCTGCTTAAGGCCATTAATTTCTTCATTCCATTTTGTCTTTTTACCTCAAAAGATCAAGAGAGAGAACTATAAGCATCTCTTTTCTTTGTTGGTCTTTGTTTGCTTCCTTTTCATGGGTAGTTTTTTTTTTATAACCTAAACCTAAAGTATACTAAAGTTTAACATTTACTGATGCTCAAGAAGCCAACACGATAATAGCTAACTATCACAAAACAGTAGTGGATCATCCAGGTATTAAGATTCAAGGATGTGTAAACTTTTAAACGGGATCATCAGTTATTATTTTGTCTTGTGGAGTATGTGTAAACATACTGTTCAGGACAGTAAAAAATATGATTAATATGTATTATTAATATATTAAATATTTTTGAATTGTTTAATTTTGTAGAATAATGTTTTTTTCACACAGTATAAGTGGGTCTCTATACATGAAAATATTTAGCTGCCTTAATTTTCAGTTCATATCATATTTGGGGCTTTCTTGCTAAACATTAATTAATAAACATTAAACATTAAATATACCATCAATGTCACTCTTCTCCTTCTCCATGGCTGCAACATCATTACTCAACCCCGCCTATGAAACACAACACAGAGGCAGATGGTAAGAAATCAGAATAGAGCTAAACTGCAACATTTGTTACATAAAACACCGCCTCTAGTCTTAGCATGCCATGTTTCTTTAGAATTAGCCAAAGCAGATACCACAGCAAAACAACCAAATAAATGAATACATATATAAGACTGCTCGTGACCAATGATTTAATTAGTCTTAATTAGATTTGAATTTGGCTGACAGTGGTGTTGGGTATACTTGTTTGGTTACTGCCAGTTCAGCAGTTGTTAGTTTGAGTGCCATTGCTTTGCACAGCCCATATCAAACAATATGAAAATACTTTACAACACTATACCATATTGTCATGTCATATACATGACATGCAATTTTGCTAATTTTTTATGCACCAGTTTTTTTTAATTCACTCACCACTGAGTCCTTGCATGCTTTAACTTCTTTGTCCTTTTCCTCCTTAGCAGAGTTCAATTTCCCGACCTCATCCTGAAGTTCCTTGACCTCCTTATCTGGATTGTCAATTTCCTTCTGTGTGTGTTCAACTGCTAAACCGTAATTATTCAGATCTAGTTCTTTTTCTCTCACCTCTGCCTCTGAGAACTCTACTTCATTTTTTAGTTTGTTCACCAATTCCTTTTTAAAGTGTATATATCCCACCAAGCCCATGATCACAAATATTACTAAACACAGGATCAGGGACGACCATGACTTCCTCTCCATGGCTATGATGTCCAAAATATATTTTTTAATCAGCTTATAAATTGGTTTTATTCTCAAATTTCCTATCAGTGTTTTTCCCCCCCTTACATCAGTGAGGTTTTTAGTACCTTTATCTGTTTTGAGAAAAAGTGATATACATGCATGCATGAATAAGTGTTTGGTCTCTAAAAGAAAATACAAACAGAAAAACGAGGTGAAAACAATTAATTTGCAGCCATAATGTCACATAAAAAAAAACGTTTAATTTACAGTCATAAAACATTTTTAAAAATAACTGAGTCATAATGAAAATAAAAAATAATTAATTTACAGTCATAATGACACATTTTTAAAAAATATATTAAATGAAATTATTTGAATTATTATAAATGGCCTCAGTCACAGGCTCTTTTCATACCTTATAGCCTATTTCTTTTACATCCCTGTTGAAAAGAAAACTGCCTCAAGTAAACCACCCTAAGCTTTTTTGCTGGTCTTTTAGACTAGGGGTGCCCAAACTCGGTCCTGCAGGGCCGGTGTCCTGTAGAATTTAGCTCCAACCCCAAATAGACACACCTGAACCAGCTAATCAAGCTCTTACTAGGCATAGAAACGTCCCGGCAGGTGTGTCGAGGCAAGTTGGAGCTAAACTCTGCAGGACACCGCACTTCAGGACCGAGTTTGGAGACCCCTGGTTTAGACCATCCACAGCCTCGTTAAACTGTTCTTAGCTCAATCTGGTCTTAAAGGGCCCAAACACATTTAAAACCAGAAAAACGAGTAACTGTCTTATTGAAGTGCCCCTCCGATCCGAACCCGATTTCACCTGAGAGAGACTCCCTCAACATAGCAGAGACTTGTTACAAATTTTAGCACTACATTTACAAGAGCATGAATATGTCATTCAGATGAGTAGGCTATAATAATAAAACTCACCTCTGCCAGGAGCCGTACACGCACTCTGAGAGTATCTTTGCTACCACAAACAAGGGTTGCTTCGGAGTGAAAAAAATATTAAACTGACACTCACAGAACACAATATCACAGAAGCAGCATAAAACAACAAAAAATACCAAAAGTAAAATAATTGTCCCTCTGTCTTTTTTTCTGTTATAGCCTACTACCGTAATTGTTACTTTTCCTTCTCATTCATTCACAGAAGACCGGTCTGACTAGTTAAGCAAGAAGTTTCATTTCTGTTTTTTTTTTTTTAATAGCTTTTTCTCATTCCAATGACAGGCTAGTGGCCGATTTAAAAAAAAATCATGTTGGTTTAGCCTATCACCGCCATCAAGAGACATACGACCAACATAACAGTCTGCTGTTTTTTTCTTTCATGTTTTTTTATTGCTTTTCTTTTTTTTATTGCTGTGCATGATTACCTTTTTTTAATTTAATTTTGCAGTGTCTAATTAATTTTTATGTCGTTCAGGTCTTGATTGAACTTTACTCCTTAGATCAGTGTTTTTTTTAAACTCAGCCTTATTGTACTCTTGAAGTCTTGAATTGATGAATGTAAGCTGGCTGTGAAAACCCTTGTCCTTCCTCAAACTTCAATGAGGCCTGCAGCGGCTAATATTTACATAGTGAAAACAACTGTGGCTATGTGTACACAAGCGTGAGTGAACGGTTGGCACACAGGCTGCTATATAACATCATATGCCACCTGTGCTATTCTGGTCTTCCGGACTTTAATACCTTGAACAGCAGCTAAGGAATTTTCAAGAAACATGCTTTCAAGACCTTCAAGGAAATTGCACCAATGCACCTCAGGTCTGCCATCTACAGATCACACAGACCACAGCTCAATCTCGGTGTAGACATTCAGGTTAATCCACATGTCTGTGGAGATTTAAAACCTGATATAGAAAATAATCAGAGATAAATTACCCTGTTTGTTTATTATTATTAATAATATTATTATTTATTCGCTTCTTATTTATAAATTCCTAATTAAATAATTGCATAATATAAGCCTATTGTTTTACATTCCAAAATGTCATTCTGAAATCAGAAAAAAGCAGATCAAATACACACATTTTCTGTTACTGATATAGCTTTCTAAATCCTTCCATAATAGTACAGTGTTATTAATGATCTAATCGACTCCTACACCACGACAGTGACTCGCCCAGTGGCTTGTGGCTTTATCTGTTTGTTCTATCAATGGTGTATGACAATGGCGTATTTGTAAAGGTAGTAAAAAATATATATATAATTTTTACAATTACTTTCTGTGGTGCAGGAATGACTTAACTTAGCTTGGTGGAAATGTACAGTTCGTTCATAGAGCAACTGTAAATTTGCATCCATAGAGATATTTGAACTAGACTAGTATCATTTGCAGCGATATTAACCCTATATTCTTACCACTACTATATGTTTGCAGTGCTGAGGGCTATTGTAACATGCCGTCCCACAGTACTGGTTCATACATAAATGCTTTGGAGTTGCAACTGGATCCAAAAACTGACCTTTTGTCGTTTTGTAATATGAAACGCACCACATTCTTTATCCCTACAGCTTGTGGCCTTAACTCCTTCTTCTAACTTTCACAACTAGGTGATGATCTGCACCACACCTTGTTTTGCTTTTACCTGCAATCAAAACACCACTGCTGAAGGGTTGCATTACATTCTGTTGCTGTTTTTGTTTGTTTGTCCTTTGTTTAGTCATTCTTTTACTATCATTTTCACCAGAGACAAACTACAGTCATGGCCAAAAGTTTTGGCAGTGACATAAATGTTGTGTTTTGCAAAGTTTGTTGCTTCAGTATTTTTAGATTATTTTTCCACATTTTTCTATGGCATGCTGAAAAACAAGCAAAAGTTTTTAAGGCTTTTATTGGCAAAAAAATATAATGAGTCAATATTTACAGAGTTGACCCTTGTTCTTCATAACCTCTGCAATTCGCTCTGGCATGCTGGATATTATAGCTTCTTGCCCAAATCCTGACTGATGGCAATCTATTCTTGCCTTATTAGTACTCGGAGTTGATCACAATTTGTGGACTTCTGCTTGTCCACTCGCCTTTTGAGGACTTGACCACAGGTTCTCTATGGGATTGAGATCCGGGGAGTTGCCTGGCTACGGATCCAACATTTTCAATGTAATGATCTTCGAGCCACATCTTTATCACTCTTGCTATGTGACATGGTGCTCCATCATGCTGGAAAATGCATGGATCATCACCAAATTGCTCATGGATCGTTGGAAGAAGTCGCTCTTGCAGGACGTTTTGATACCATTCTTTATTCATGACAGTGGTTTTGGGCAGAATTATGAGAGACACATGGATGGTCTCAGGATGCTTCACTGTTGGCACTTCACAGGACTCATGATAGCGTTCACCTTTTCTTCTCTGAACAATCGATTTTCCAGATGTCCCAAACAGTCGGAAGGGAGCTTCATCAGAGAAAATAACTTTGCCTGAAGACTTCTTCACTGCAGTCGAACCTCTCTCCTTGAAGTTCTTGATGATACGGTAAATGGTTCTTTCAGGTTCAATATTTTTTGTAGCAATTTCCTTGCATGTGAGGACATTTTGATGCAAAGAGATGACGGCTGCACATGTTTACGAGGTAACCATTGCTAACAAGAACACAATGATTGGAAGTGCTTCTTCCCTCCTTTTATAGCAATCAGTCTGCTCTTACAATCTAATTAGTATGATATCAAAATCATGATAGTGATTTTACCTGACTAGTACTCATTCACACTTTCACATGTGCTGCTGATATGATTAGTCAATTATTGTTAGCTGGTCATTTTGTGTCAGGATAAAAAAACAATGAAATTAGTTTTTTTGTAAAAAGTTAAAAAAAAAAGAAGTTTTGAGCAATTATTTAAAATGCATCTGATCACTCTTCACAATAATCTAGAAACAATGTGAATGAACACCACAACAGCTTAAGCAGCAAACTTTGCAAAACACAAAATTTATGTCACTGCCAAAACTTTTGGCCATGCCTGTACTGGACATCAAGAGGCGGTGGACTATGTTTCTACATAAATGAAGGTTGGTATTCAGAAGAAGATGTTCTCCTAATTTAGAGGCACTCTTCGTAAACTGTGAACCTTTCTACCTGCCACGGGAGTTTTCCTCGTTCATTCTTGTGAAATTACTTCCCTCCGGAAGTGTTTTAATGACTAAACCTAAATTCTCCTCCCCTTTCACATCTGTTGTAATAATTTTAATTTATATTTTACCTTTGCAGTTTAAATAAACCATACATGTCATATATTTCAAACAGGGCATCTTGCTTTATTAATATTTATTATGAATGTCTTAAATAACAAACTTTAACAACATAAGGGCAAATCCCTTTAGCGCAGCTGATGAAGTGACGCTAAAGGGAGCGAGGATATATCATTTCACTTGATTCAATTCCTTCAGCCTCGCGTCTTTCCCTTGCGTACTTCCCTCGCATCCTGAAGGGGTGGAGCTAAGACGTGAGGAAAGGAAACGAGGATGCACAAATAAGAATTGAGAAGCACCCTAGGTCAAGTGAAACATGCGGGGAAAAAAAAAACTAAAAGTCCATGATCGTGACACAAAGGAGATCAGAGTGGCTAAAAAAAAAACTACTCTGAAAAGCTGAAAGAACAGTTTTCAGCCAACGACCCAGCATCCGTATGGACTGGTCAGGAAGATCAAGTACATGACACCACCCCACAGTCTGTAGACACATACAAACGGGTCTTCAGAAAACAGAAATCTTCAGAAAAAAAAAAAAGAAAGCTTCAGGCCCAGATGGTGTATCACCTGCCTGTCTAAAAGTCTGCGCTGACCAACTGGCCCCCATCTTCACATAGATCTTCAACAGATCACTTGAGCTGTGTGAAGTTCCCTGCTGCTTCAAACGCTCCACCATCATTCCGGTCCCCAAAAAAACCAAAATCACTGGACTTAATGATTACAGACCTGTCGCTCTCATGTCTGTAGTCATGAAGTAATTTGAAAGACTGGTCCTGGCCTGAATTGAATAAGAATGAATATTTAGAAATATTCTTGCTGTTGTTTTTATATTATTTTGAGTTATTGTGTAATTACAATCCATCAAATATATTTTTAATGTTATATTTTACACAAATTAGAGAATGGGGTTTTGGATAGGGAGAATTGTATGTAGAAATTTAGAATTCTTAAGAAACCAATCTTTTTATTTTAGAAATATAACATATAGAACATTGTAATATAAAATATATGTATATTATATATAGATATTTAATCGCTGTCCTTTCGGTCTTATTGAAGTGCCCCTCCAATCCAAACCCGATTTCACGAGGGCTAAAATCTTAAATATTGTGCCTTTAAATATGTGCATTATTCCATGAAAACACTAAAAACGTCATCCTTTTACATGTGTAGTTTATGTTTGCAAATAGATTAAGTATAGATAAAGACGTTTATATGATTAATATATCTGTTATAAATATGTAAGTAAACTGAATGTCTTATTGAAATAAACCTACATAAGTTCCTGCTTATGTGACCCGATGATGTCACAGCAGTTGTAATATCTTCACACAATCCTGACACATATCTTACATGACTTGAATTTCGGAAATATGATTTTGTGTATTTTTTGGTGAATTTTTGAAATATTCAAATCTATATAAGTTACTGGTCATGTGACCTCATGTTGCCACGCCCACTGCATTATATTCATAAACATGTTTCACACATTGTACATTCATATCTTTTTCTTTTGAATATATATTTGCTGTTTTTAGACAATTATTTAAGTCAAGTGACCTGATATTGTTACACAAGGCCGGTTTATATTCACAAACATTTCTCATACAAAAATATTTACATTACGAAATTATGCTTCCCTCATTTGAACAGGACCGCTGTCCCTCCGACTAGAACATCCAACAAAGCGTCTGAATAATCAAAAACTGGAAACATTTTGTCTGGTGTGTGTGTTGCCTTATGTTCAGTAGTTCGTCTCTGGTAAAACATGACTAAACACAAAACAAACAAACAAAAACAGCAAAAGAACAGGAGGAGCTCCACACCGTGGCAGCCATACATGGTGCCATCATCCTATCACAGATCAGATCAGCACCTAGAGATGACTTCTACAGCCCTGAATGTCAGCGCAGACCATTTCATCTAGACAAAGAGACTAGACTAGAGACAGATCCCCTGTGAAGATCCCGTCGGCCA